CATACAGCCGAGAACTCGTCCTTGCATTGGCTATAATACTTCGGGACAGGCAAGAGCCGAACGACTTGCCGTAATCAACCCATCAACGAATCGAATAGAGCTCCTGTACAACGATTGAGATGTGTGGGAGAATCAAGTCTGGAAAAAATGTAAAGCGTACTCTCAGGCGGCGCCCTTTGATTTGTAAGGCAGGGACAACCAGAAGGAACAGGCCAATTACAACCCTATGAGCGAATCTCAGTGTCTTACTCACCAATACGTAGTTTCAATGTACTTACGCGGCTTCGACTCCAAAAGTTTGTATAGCCCCGTTTCTGGTTGCCCATGGTACTTGAAAGTATGCCACACTGAAGCCTATACTCTATTTTTCAGAACATCAGAGAGGGCGATATTTCAGAAGCGAACCTCCCAAAGTCCTCGCAAGATTTATGAGCGCACTGATTTCCCCCTGTGGGACTCAGTAACGAAGGCACGCGACAAAAACTACCCCTGACCTACTTTTTGTTTCGGAAAGCAATCATTACAGTACGCATAGACAGCCACAGTGTTTATCATGACCGCCAGTTCTGCAATTCCCCATCCCATCACCAGTGCACCAACACTCAAATGTTTCTGAAAGGCTGCTCCAAGGGTCACGAAGCCACAAATATATAATGGCATAGCAACATAGCAAGCCCTCAAAAAAGGTTGTCAATGTCTCGCTTGTTAGCGGGAAAAAAGAAAATACCAAAAACGACTTTCGGCTTCAAAGACCCCGTTATTCCGCCGGATACTCATATTCATGATCCAATCATTCATATAACGACCGATCAATTCCCCGATAATCACAGACACCTACAACCTCTCAAGACAAGTCTATGAGATGGAAGGTACACTCACAATTGGTGTGCCATATTCACCTGCAATTGCAAATTGGGTGAAGTTGTACAGGCCTGGGCCTGGACCTAGAAAGACTGCGTTTGTCGTCTAGATAACATTTTCAAGCTTGACCAATTCAGCGTGACAAGGTCGCGTACATTGATGCCAATGGAGAATCCAAAAACCATCGCCTGATATACTTGAAAATTTGAACACAAAAGAGGGAGAAAAAACCTACCTCAAACCAAAGAATCATCATAAGATGTGGTCGCCAAACAACGTTGAATGGGGAAAGAATGGATTCTTTCCATGATACACGGTATTTCGCCATCTTCATTCCGGTAAGACCAATCAGAGTTTCGAC